TTATTATAATTCTAATTATCAATACCTCAATTTGATTTCACAAATTGATTTTACATAATAATAATAATAAACCCAATAACTTCTCTTTCTACATTTCAATTCAATTAATACAGCAATTTCAATTCTAAATTGATTTGACAATTTTAATTATAAAAATTAGTATTTGTCTGTCAGATCTAAAAAATTATAAAGAAAAATACTTTAAAACTACATTGTTTTGTTAAAACAAAAAAAGGCCAAAACAAATTCATTTTTTATCTATTCATTGATATGTGTTTGAAATGACTTTTATATTTATTAATTAAAAATTAATTTCAATTAGGAATCAATATTATTATATTTAGTAATTACTAAAAAGATATAGTACACAAATGGACCACACATGTGTAGTGTAGTTTTAGAGCCTAGTTTATTACAAAATCATTACTTTTATAATTTTTTTCAATTTTTTCTTACAGTGGTTATATGGCACCAGAATATGCTTTTGATGGGCAATTCTCAGTAAAATCTGATGTTTTCAGCTTTGGTATATTGTTGCTAGAGATACTAAGTGGGAGGAAGAACAGGGGGCTTTACCATCTCAGCCATAGCAACCTTATTGGACATGTAGGTATCAAGATTCAAGAACTTGCTTTCTTACCTTCCTTGAACTAAAACATGATAGTTTATAATTTGTATTTAGGCTTGGAGATTGTGGAAAGAAGGAAACACTTCTGAACTAATTGATTCGTTTGTATTGGAGTCTTGCACCCTACTTGAAGTGTCAAGGTGTATTCACATTAGTCTCTTATGTGTTCAGCATCACCCTGAGGACAGGCCGAGTATGTCATCTATTGTTTTGATGCTGGGTAGTGAGAATACACTAGTACAACCCAAAGAACCCGGTTTCCTTGTTCACAGCAAATCACAGGAAACAATTTCATCTAGCAAGCTTGAATCATCTTCAACCAATGAACTTAGCCTGTCAATGTTGGAGCCTCGATAATGGGTAATCACTTAGAAATTATACAGCCCCAGTGATGAAAATATTACTTAATGATGTTCGCCAATGCATGCTATATATGAATATAACTTAATTAATTGTTATTTGTACGAAATTAGTGGTGATTTAGTGACACCTATTCTATTTGATCCTTAAGATCTGAGACTTCATTTCTCAACATAGATTGGTGAATCATTTTACATTGTATTTTAGTCCATAATTAAAGTGTCAAGATCACTAATTTATCAATCTTCTAGTAGTTTTATATAGCTGAATATTCATGATAGCCAACAAAAACTGATTTTTGCTCTAAATAATAACCTCTTTCATCCCCATTTTGGCTTGCTTGTTTGTGTTTTTTAAATGTAAAATAAAAATGCAATGTGGGCTACAATGAAGATGTTGTCATCTTTCTGTAATAGAAATTATAGTCGTGGCCTAAACTAATTTAGTTAAAGCATCTATATAAAAGGGTAACAATCAACGTTTATATGGATTTTATAACTAGACCAAAACTCAAAAGTTGACACAATTAAGTCACTTGTTAACAACATAATCTACCTAACTAGTTTAGTGGTTATTGTTTTTCGTTAGAAATAAGAAATCTTGAGTTCGAGTCGTATGGCATATGGGTGGGGTGGGATAAAGGATGAGAGATAATTGCCTCTTATTGTACAACCAAGATAAATAATAATAATAATAAAATAACATAATCTATCTAAACATACAACATTAGAAATTGACCATATAAGTTACAATGATACTATAAAGTGTAGAAAAATTACCTTTTGAATTCCTTTAGTTGCTAGATAATCTCATTTATTATACCAATTTATGGGGAAAGCAAGTAGCTTGGTAGTATAAGAATCCCTATCTACTATGCTACCATGCTAATATATATATATATATTTATGTTGGTTGCACAATGGAAGACAACCCTCTTATATCCTTTATTCCACCCCTACTGTATGCCATGTGACTTGAATTCAGAACCTCTTACTTCCAGCAAAAAAAAAAAAAAATTTACTACTAAACTACTTAAGTCGTTGGCACCATACTAATATTCATATTCGACTAACTAGAGGCTATTTCTCAAAATTAATGTGTTTCGTGAAATGAAATTTTAATTTATAATTAATTATGAAGATTTCCAGTGTTAGAATGTGAACGTCTTGGCATTTAGAATGTCAAAATTACTTATAAAATTATTTATACACCTTTTATAAATCTTGATTTAAATCTTTTTATTATCATTTTTGTTATTTTAATAGTTACAATGTCATAATTTGCAGCAAAACCACAAAACATTGCAATGAATAAAGCTTTTCCATAATTTTAAAGGGTTCAATCCCTTTTTTAGGCTCTCAACTTTAGTATTTTAAATCAATTTTGTCCTTCAACTCTGCTGATTAACAAATTTCACTCTAGTAAAAATATTAGTCAGTTTAAGTAATATAATGATAAAAATCCAATATTGTCTTTTAGAAATTGTAGATTAATTAATTATTAAAATTAATTAATTTTAATTTTATTTGAACAATTTTAATTAAATGATTTGAATGAACTAATTAACTAAATTAATTAAAGAAAAACTAAATTGACTTTAACTAATAATAAAAATTAAAATTCTAAGATATCTAATTTTATCATAATCAACTAACATAAAATTTAGATTAATATACTTTCAAAGTATTTATTATTCATATGATAGTGAGATTTTCTATTTAATTCGATATACTTTCTCAAATGCATTATATTATATGAAATTTTTTAGTATATATAGAAAATCAAATTCACTTATTATTAATGTTGCATGAACTATATTGATCCATCTCTAATTTTTATTAAATTTATGGTATATATTAATAGAACTTATTATATAAAATCTTTTTACAGTCTCAATTATACTTTTCAAATCAGTTTTAATGATAGTCAATTATTAAAAAATATTTTAAATAATAATATATACTTTACATGAAATAATAAATCTTAAAAAATATAAAAATCATAAAATCTTATATCAATTTGATTAGACTACATCACAGTCTTAAATGATTAAATTAGTTTACAATTAAAGAAAAAAATCAAAAATCTTATGATGAATATAAGAATATCTGATATTATAAAATAAAATTTAAGAGCAAGTAAAAGTAGTTTAATGATGTAAAATCTAAAATCTTAAATCTTGATTCTCTTTTGATGTAAGTTCCTTTCTAGTCATTCTTTTGACCTTTTCAAAAGTCTTAAATTTGACTTTTAAATGAGTATTTATAGAGTTTAAAAAACTCTATTAGAAAAGAAGTAGGATTCAAAATAAAAAATGAAATTACTAATACTAGACGTGCTTTTAATGTCGACGTGAAAATTTAGGTGTCAATACTTCTGTTTATTTCAGGTGGATCTGTTTTATAAAATGCATAACGCATGGTGCTGATACCATGGAGTATGTGTCCACCCCATACCCGTGTTG